TTCCTGCATGATTGCCTGCCAGACTATATCTGATCCATCTGATTATCTGAAGTAAACTTGCTTACTTCATGAGAAATCTGGGAGTGCTGGAGTGCCAAGCATCAGCAGTAACAAGCCATTCTCTCTGCATAAAATGAATCGGATAGTCAGGTGTTGCTGGCAGTGCTGAACGTGTGCATCTGGGGCATAGTGCTCCCTCCTGCCTCCATCTACTGCAGGGGCAACCTGAAACCTTTTTACTAATACTGTTGTCCCCCCCAGACCTTCAGCATTCATTCCAAAACAATTAATTGTATTTCAGCTTCTGTTTTTGTTTTTCTCCTACAAAATAATGGAATTAAAGGATGTGGCTTTGCAAGCTAGTGGCCCTGTAAGGAGATAGACTGCACATCTGAACACTTACCACTCCCTTCCATCTTCAGCTTCCGTGATTCAATGAACGTCAAATCACTTTTACTATTAAAAAGTCATAGGGAAAGGGAAGGACACCTACTTGTGTTTCTGCCATGCTTTGTGACCACAGCCAGCTAGCAGAACCAGTGACTCGGATATTTACCCTGATGTGTGAACAGCTTTGAAGCCACCTCTGAGCCCAGCGTGGCCATGGCTCTGCTGCTACAACGGGCCGCTCAGCTACATCTGTGACACCAGCTGCCATTGCAAACACAGACATGGCCTTTGCTGAATTTTCTTTTCTCTTGTAGAAAGCAAAGAATCTACAAGATTCCAGAGGAGCAAAGCCCCGGGACTGTTGTTGCCAATATAACAGCTGAAGATCCTGATGATGAAGACTTTCCCAGCAGACTTTTCTACAGCATCCAGTCTTCCAACACATATTTCTCCATAAATCCGTGTAAGACAAACAAAAATGTGCCTTCTGACACCTTGAAAAGAGACATCCTAGTGCTAGGGAAAAAAAAACTTTTGCCTGAGTTTTGAGCTGGCTTACTTTCTTCTGTGGCTACCCTACAAGAAGAAATGCTCAGTACGTATGTTTTTAGGGTCAAAATCTTTGGTTAGCTGACCAGGATTCAACAAGATACCCTGAAGAAGGTAGACCAAAGGTGACTTACTGGTAAATGTTGGCTTACTTCTGGATGATGATAGTCCATTTGGCAGACATAAGATCAGCCACCTTCTTTTTATTTTCTGAGGACTGCAGAGACCCTTCTAGGGGTTTTGCAGCAGCTACAGATACTTAGACCATAGGATGTGCCCGTTGTCTCCCTCTGCCTGGATAATCCCAGGTGGCTGCTGGGAGTTCAGAGAGGAGTTAACAGAGAAATCTCTGACGTTGGGATCTCTGCTGTGCAGGCAGGCATCTTCGTTGCCTTCGGAGGGCAACTCCTGTCTCTCGTGCACTCTTTAGATTAGCATAAAATGGTCAGGTCACACCTGGAAGATGGAGCAAGGCTAAGCTCTGCCCTAGCGACAAGACTCGCAGCAAGGGAGATTCACTATGCAGGTTCACTCAGCTACTTGGGCCCCTCCGCAGGCCAGGCGGTCCAAAAGAGGCAGTGCTAATATGCTTGCCCTGTTCTGCTGTTCCCTGGGCTTCCTGGGCTGGCTGCTCCAGTCCTCTGAGCTTTTTACTCCAGGGTTAGCATACAGTAACTGCTCCCCCCCGATCTGCTCTTGCTTTAGGGCTGCTTAGCACCAGCTCTTGAGGGTGTAGGGGACTTCTAACCACTTTCCAAGCCCCCTGCTGAGGCTCCCAAGGGCCCTCCAGACGGTGAGCATCTAATTCGCGGTTCCTCTCTGCCCAGCGACTGGTGTGGTGCAGGTGGCCAGGAGAATCGACCGAGAAGCCCTGCCACTGCAGCTTCACCCCAACATCTCAGTGATCGTGCGTGTGGAGGACAGCCCCAGCGGAGGTCAGGCCAGTGAAATGGAGATCACAATCATTATCGAAGATCTCAATGACAACCCACCGGAATGCAACCCTTCTACCTTCAGGTACGGCCTTCGAGCTGCATTGTACACCCACAGCAGCGCCCAGCCCAGGGTGCACCAGTCAGGGTCCTCAGTCCTATAGCTAGAGGTTCCAAGGGACATTCCTCATGATCCTTTAAGGCTCACTGCAAATGTCTTAGGGCACAAAATTCAAACCTCTGTCTTGTTTGGCCTGGAAATTTGAACCGAAAAAATCTGTGTATCATTAGGTACTTTATTTATCTTTCTTTCTCTTTAGGTACCAAATCCCTTAAGATATCAGAGCCATGTGTTGTGCAGAGTTACTTTTCTGACCCATATGGAACGAAGCTCCTTCTTTCTCACTTTTTACTAAACTAAGGGGCATCATTCCCCACAGAAAGCCTGCCAGACGGTTCTGGAGCTGCATTTTAAACTTTCTGAACTTTTTTTCTGAATATCTTCCTGTTTATCTCCACGTTTCTTGTCCAGTGCACTCTGTAAGGTCTTCAGAGGCCGCATGTCCTCCTGTCTTCTCTATGTGTGGTAACTTGCTCACGGACTTTGCTATGTGTGCTCTGAGACATTTGGGATGATCAGTTAGCTTATATTTGAAGTCGTATGAAATGAGGACCTGTCATTATCCCCATTTAAATGATGAAGTGTAATGGCATAGAACAACTAATGTCAAAGTTGTCCTGTTTGAAGCATTCTGGGTGCCTCACAGACTTCAGGTGCGCTTATGGTAGTTTGATGGTCCTGCAAGTCAGAATCCAGAGTCTCAAGCTGAGACCTGTGTCGTAACGCTACAGACTTGTGCAGCAAGGGATTTCCAGTTAGCGGCTGTCTGTTTAAATTGTTTGCCTAGTGGCTATTTTAAATGTCTTGCACTGAAATCACATAATTTTATGGAGTGGAAGTTCCTCAGAGCGCTCCTTGGTTACTACAGCCATGACACTAAGAGTCTATTTGATATCCAGTTGTCATGCAGATTGTAACTTCAGCTCACATTACGATCTGAATGAAGCAAAGATCTTCAGGCAAAAACACAATCAGCTAATTAAATAACTAGTCGTACAGGGACTGTACAAGGGAAATAAAATCAAGGCTTAAGGATATTTCAGTTAGTTCTCCTATACTTTTTCATATGGAATTCTCCACATTAAAAAAACAAAACTGATGCCACCTCCCCTGAGTTCCATCATGTGCATCACAGTGACATCACATATGTCAACAACAGGGCCAGAAATTCTAGTTTCAAAGAATAGCAGAATGGACATATTAGTTAAGGAGAAAAAAAAGAGGATCGCAGTGGGAAAACATTGCAATATATACAATACACTGAAGAGGTGAGCGTTTTAAAGTTTTTTAAAAATACGAATTAGTAATTGAACTAGTCTTGAATGTTAAGATCTTGAGGTAGCTTCTGAAGTTAGACTGAGTTCCAAGATTTTGTTTTGGATCTGGCTAAATATTTATGTCCTGCCCATTACATAGAGCTGTTATCCACCACAGCATAGGGGTCAGATTCGAGGTTGCCACATCAACTGTTGTCTATTTAGATCTAGGATTTCACTCTGAAAATAAAAGGGAAGTCAATATTTTGGAATGTAATATATGAAGAGCTTAAGAGCAAAAGTGTAAGAAGAACTCTGATGGGAGATATGTTTCTTTTAAACAGGGAAGAGACAAATGAAAATGCTACTGTTGGGACATTTCTTCTTGATCTTAGAAATTTCTGTAAAGATATGGATGTCGATCCACCAAACAATCTATTTAATTTCACTGGACTATCTGGTTTTGGAAGCAATAAATTTGCGCTGGATTCCTTGTCTGGAAGACTTGTGGTCAGTCATTTATAGCTTTATGATAGATTGTCTTGTTTCAGGGGCCAATTTTCGAAATATTATTAAGGGCATTTCTTATTTTGAATTCATTGTCTGTTCAATAAAAAATAATTAGTGTAATTCATGTTGTGGTAGTATGATGTGGAAAATGACTGTTCTGACTGGATGTGAAGTGTGAACCTTTTGACAGGATGCTTTGTATGGATTTTAGAGAATTTGGTGAGCAGACAACTGTCTTCTCCAGTTTTTAGTCGAAGAGCTAGATATGACTGAAAAAAGTCCTTTTCAAGGAGGGTGAAGCACCAACTTGGATGCAGATAAGCAGAGAAAACTGATGCCATTTCACACCCATTTGTTCAGGCAGACCATGGAAGATTCTTGCTATTCAGGATGAAGAGCTGAAACACTTGAGAAACCCCAGACTGAGAAACTACTTCCCAGATGCACTGATCAGAATTGTAGAAGTACTTAGAGTGGTAAATTTTCACAAAACCAGGGTAGATTTCCACCTGTGTGATTTTGTGTGTCAAAATTTGGGTGCCTTGCGTTGATAGCTGCTGTCGTATTTGCAGTGCCCAGAGCTCACGCCAGCTGTTGAACGTGAGCAATGGTGGTTGTTTTGTTGATTTAAAAGGAGCAGCGGCAAAATAAAGAAAAAAGGATGCGCATAACACAAACTAGCGAGTACACAGTCATTACATCTAAAAGAGGAGAGTGCTGCAGGATGAGTAAATGATTTTAGATGTCGTTCTTTAATTTTTCATCTGAGGTATAAATGTCAATGACCACTATCCTTAGCTTCAGCCCCCAATATAAAAGGCATTTTTGAGGCTGCACAGAATATTATTGTAATCAGCATGTCTGTATAACGTCATAGGCTGTCTGAAGTGTCATGTCCCTCCCAGAATTTCCCTATGGAGGGCAAGCTGTGGCTGCCCATGCTTTAGTGCTGGAAACCCAGAGTTTATAGGGCTCTTCCAGAGAGTCCCGGGGATTAGGATTTAAATCTTTGCGTGAGCCACCATTCAGTAACAGCTTTTTCCTGGATAAACACTTGTGGCTGAACCTGACACCTTTAAGGCAGGTCTGCAGGCATGATCTCAAGGAGTAACTGTTACTGTTGAGCAAGAGCAGACTGTTGTTGAGCCAACACAGGGCTCAGTAAACAGCTCGATTACTGCAAGCGCTTTGAATTCACCAGGTGAAAGGCCGAGACCTTTTGCTTCAAAGGATACAACTTCCTGCACTTTGGGGCAGAAATATTTTCTTGGCAGAGGGAGATTAGTTTTGAATTGCCAAGAGACAGCAGAGAGTGAATATGAAATTCAATGTCCTGTAATTGATTAATAGCCTATATAACTCCCATATGACAATTCTATATACCCCGGGGAGAACCCACTCACAGAACATCGAGAAAAACTAGTTGCCACCCTGTGTATTGTGACTTTGTGTAAGGAAGTATAAATACAACTGTGTTTCTTTTTAATTTAGATGACAGAAAGTATTGATTTAGAAAACCCAGCTCATCTAGGAGCTGAAGTTTCTTCTTTGACTGTCAGGGTGCAAGATATTGCCTGGCCTAACTACTCAAGCAAGTATCCCCTTTACACTTTTGATATTTTCCTGTGCTGTAACAGCATGGAGAGGAATGCCATATGTATTTTGAATATATGCATGAGAAAATTTCACAGCCATACATAACTCTGATGTAATCTTCTGCTGTATTTCCAGATATCATCTACATTTACATCAGGATAAAGCCAGTGAATGAATTTTTTCCAGTCTTCAGTAGTTTATCGTATGAATTTAATGTTTCAGAAATTACTAAAGGTACAGTAAGTAGCACCTACATGAGAGAAATAATGATGTCATGTTGATAAGTACATTTTTGCTCCAAATGTATTTTTATTTAATTGAATGAGGAGAATGGCTCAAAGTCCCAGTTTGATTGGGGTTCCACTGTACAATCACCTCATAGCCCTAAATAGAGAAGACCGGCAGCAACTCCAATTGTACAAATGGAAGCTGACACACAGACAAATCCAGCAAGTTGTGCAAGAAATCTGTGACAGAGCCAGAAACTGAACTCAGATTTCTTGTTTTAGACCATCTTTCTACTTTTGCTAGATTAGCTTTTCAAAAGGACCGTGATGATGTAGAGAAGCAACTATAGAGGGTGGTGCAGACGAGAGAGGACCCCCTTGGCTGAGGCCCTTCCCGTCCCCGGGTGAGTCCCGCGTCTCAGGACTTGCAGAGCGGCACCATGGCCTGTCTCCTCCTTGGGGAGCCTCATGTGCCTGGCAGGACTGCTGGCCTGCTCTGTGCTATGCTGCTCAGTGGTCAGAGGAGCTTGATACAGGGATAGCACCTTCCCCAGCTTCTGCCTCTTGCAGTGGCCTCTCCCTCATATGATCTAACACAGCAAACACAGGTCTTCTGGCCCACGACCTGACTTACTTTTTTTTTTTTCTGTTGGCTGAGAAGAAAATGAAAGGTCATTCTGGACTTTCTAGGACATAGAAAATTGAGGGTGGAAGGGACATCTGGAGCTCTCGAATCCAGCTCCTGCTCAAAGTGAGTTTAGTCTCAAAGTTAGATAAGTTTGCTCAGAGCCTCATCCAGTTAGTTGTGAAAATCTTGAAGAATGGAGACTCCAGATCTTCTCTGAGCTCCTGTTCCGGTTCAGCAACCCTTATTCCAGGCAATTTTTTCCTTATATCCAGTTGGAAGTTTCCATGTTGCAACTTGTTCCTGTCTGTTGCCTATCGTCCTTTCACTGTCCACTTCTGAGAAAAGTCTGTCTCGGTCTTCTCTATTATCACCTTTCACCTTTGTCCTTTCAGTGGAGGGTAGCAATCAAATACCCCCTTGGCCTTCCCTTCTCCAGGCTGAGCAACCCCCAGTCCTGCTCCACCAGCCTCTCCTCTGGCAATCTGTGCTCCAGCTCCCTGCCATCTCAGTGCTTCTTCCCTGGCTTTTCCCTAGTTTGTTGATGTCTCTCTCTACTGGGGGTCCCAAACTGGTGACTATTTTCTATACACAGCCCTGTGAGCGCTGAGGAGAGAGGAACAACCGCTACCCACGATTTATTGGAAACGCTCTTGTTAATACCACCCAGCATGTGGCATGTGGTCTTCATCACCCAAGGGCGCAGTGCTGGTGCATGTGTTGTCCACCAGGACTGCCTGCCTGCTAAGTCACTCCCCTACCTGCACTGACGCACCCTGAATATCCCCAGGCCATATGGATGTAGTTAGGGTTAAACCAGTGTCTGCAAGGATGGGTGTGCACAGTCCCATCTCAGTCCTCCCAGTGTACAGCACTATCATTTTAAGCTTATTTTATCAATGCTCCATACAAAGGTAATTCAAGCTGCCCTTAAAACAGCTTAGAAGGCAGAGAGGCAACTGCATTTCAAGGTGGACAAAAAGAAAAAGTCTTGTTCTCCGAACCAAGCTAGCGTTTGCCCTGGCCGTGGTGTGGTACGTGTTAGTGCAGGGCTCTGGGGGTGGCCCTCACCGTCAAAGTACTTCTGTTGTGGTTCTCTATAGACTCCTCGCATTTTGTTATTTATTGCTAACAGGCAAGCCTATACATGGGAGAGCCATAACAGAGCATGATAACCTAGTATTTCTCACGCCTCTGCTTTACATTTTTTTGAAGGGAAACTCGAAAACAAATGTTTAGTTACAGTTTCATCAAGCTTTGGCATGAACAAGTAATCTGTACTTCCTTTTCGTCCAAGTTTAAAATGTTAATAAAATACGAATTTTCTTCCTTTCAGCTGGATCCAGCATTGGAAAAGTGAATGCCAGAGACAAAGACTGGCCACCCAGTGTCATCACTTATTCCATTGTAGCTGGAGGGGGCACCAGGGATTACACAGATATATTCTGGATCAACCCAGCTGAAGGAGATGTGAAGATCTTAGCTAGATTAGACTATGAAACCACTCAAAGATACCTTCTCACAGTACAGGCCTCAGACCAAGAGAAGACTGCAACAGTATCTGTGAGTAAGCCCACTCTACTTCTCCCCATTTAATCTACATTTTTCTCTCTTCTTCCTGACAAGAACAGTAAGACATTGGGCAAAGCACTTTGGTGCGTATAAGGCAAGTTCACCCCTACACAGGTTGTATATTAATCAGATGAAAGAGATGATGTTCATTCAGTCTTGATTTATTTCTTGCAAAAGGATTAAAGCAATTTTTTAAATGTTTTAACTCTGTGGTTTTTGTCTTTCAGCCTTTTTTATTTTACCTGGGCAGTAAAATTGTTTTCTGTGTCCTAGACAACTTAAGGTATTCTCTCTGGCTACATATATACCAGAAAATAGAACAAGGACAGGGTCTTGAGGACAAGTAGCACAACCTAATTGCATCTATGCTTAGCACCAACTCTTTTCTGGACTTCAGATAGTGCCTCTGTGGCCATCAAACACACTTATAATTTTGTGTGTGTCCTTTTCTCATATCAAAGTACCTGCAGTAATGTGAGGACTGTGTTGCAGCCCACTGGAATTATGTTTTCATGGTGTGAGAGAGAGGGAATGTGCTGCATACTTGGGATACGGGCTGAGGGCCTGTGTAGTTTGTTAGAATAACATCCGAGGGCCCAGACTGGGACCGCCTTGTCCATGATCCCTAACAGGGGTGAACTCTGGCCCATGCCATCCCCTGGCAGACCTAGTTTTGTCCTGGAGAGTGCTATCTGACATAAACCAAGAGTATGCCAGGGAGCATGGTACCATTAAACGGTATGGTTGTGCTCAAGCTTGCCCCCTAGAGCAATTTTCTATTTTATTTCGAAGAATAGACATAGGTGGTATATCCGTGAAAGCATTTGCAGTCATCCTTTTTGAAGAACCCTAGGCCTCTTCACATACTTTACTGGTTCACATCTCCTCTGTGAGGACTGCCTTGCGTTTGGTTTTTGCCAAATGTACATCTGTTGGATGGGATACAGGAATTAGGCCTACTTTTTTATTCCAGACAACCACCATCCACTGAGAAACTTGAAGAGAAATACTTAATCTCCTTATCTCCTGTAATATTTCAAGATGGTGATTAAGGAAAGCATGAGGAACTCATAATGATGATCAATTAATCTGCTGGTATATTAAAGATCAACAAACGTTAGAGGAAAAAGCTTGGGAGAGGGGTAGCCTCCTTTTCCCAGGTGGCTAATACCAGCTTGCATTAAGCACAACCAGCTCCAGCCACTGTGTCCCTCGCCTTGCAGAAAGCCATTACCAGCATTTCCCTCTCACTGGGAAGGGTCAATCTATAGGGAGTGTTCCTTCTTTCCGTGGATTACACTCTGAGTTATTATTAAATGTGCTAAGAAGCCTAACTAATGACTACGAAGCCATTTGAGACCTTTGAAAGGAAGCTTAATGAACACTTGGTGTTATTATTATTGCTCATTCTTACTGTGACATACTTCAGGTAATTCAAATAGTCAGACAAATCAGAAAAAAACTCTGTGGTTTTATAAAATGATTCAGGTTAAGGAAGCTGTTCCCACAGGAGTACTGATCACAACATGAAAAGAGGGGCAAACAGTCATCGACATTTTCTGGTAGAAACCAGATTGGAAGAGAGGGTCATTGCTCTTCAACAGCTGTTTGTCAAAAGAGTGAAAAGGGCAAAGCCAAACAGCTTCTGAAGCCAACACAGTTCTGTCTTAGCACAGTGGAGGCATTTCAGCTGGTTGTTGCTCTTTTCTTTCAGGTAACTGTCAATGTTTTGGAAGTGAATGATGAAGAACCAGTTTGTTCACCCACTTTCTATTCATTTCAAATCCCTGTTAGCTTAGCTGTTGGGACTAATATTAATGGCTTCAGGATTGTATGTCAAGATCGAGATTCTGATCCCAGATCTTTCCGTTACTTCATTAATGAAGGTACTGTGTCACAGTGTGTGAGCTTGGAGCAGCACAAAAATTCTTCAATTCTGATGGTCCGCTTTGATTTGTAAATAAAAGTCTAGCATGGTTTATGTGCTACTTTTCATGGAGAGCTCATGATGATCCCCAGGTTTCTCATATCATTATTTTGTGTCTCCTCAAGTTGGCTACTGGTGCTACCACCTAGAACCATGTCCGTGCAGGTTTGGATTGCCCAGCACATTAGTTAATTGACCATTAAGTGCAAAATTGACATGGACTTCAGTGGAATCAGCTGGGATGACACACAGGGTCAAATTTAACTTCTAGTTACAGCTGAGCAAATCTGGAGAAATCCATGGTGATTTCTGTTACTCTACATTTCTCACCTTTAGATGTTGGTACCCTATTCAAAACTACTGTGGAAACCTGCATGTCCCCATTCCATGCTGCATGCATTAAAATCCCATTGTAAGAACATGTGTTTCAGCCCAGGGATCAACTGCATCCACTCAGAGAACTGCTAAGACAGAGGACGACATTCAGCTTCAGAAAAAAGGGAAAGTGCTTTCTTGGGGGAATTTTTTTTTTTTGGTTCTTAAGATGATGACTGAGAAGGAGGGAGCAGATTGTTCAGGTGCCAGTAAAAAGTTGAGAGCATAAAAAGAGAGAACTTCTGTCCTATTCCAGCCCCTTAAAACTGCAGAGCAGCAGCAGCTCTGCAGCAGCGTTGCCTACCTGCAAGCCCACAGAAAGGCTGTGTTTAGATCAGGAAATTAGGGTCATGCCACAGGCCTCAGTATTGGTTCCCACTGCTAAAGTGTTAAGTTTGGTTGTGGTGTGACTTAAATCTACTCCGAGCAGCCTGTTTCCAAGAAGAGCCTTGGCATTATAGAAGGATCTGGCACCTTGCCTGTAAGGGGCTGTGTGTGGGTCCTCTGGTGCAAAGGCTAAGGAGGTTTGGCTGCACAGACACGCATCTGGCCTTCGAGCCAGAGATGAGTTGCTGGCCCACTCCACGTTGTAGCATAGATACGGTCCCTTCAAGTTCAATGCTGGAGCTCTCCAGGGCAGCAAGAACAAAACCAAAAGCACATTCAGTGCCTTTACATGGGTCTGATCTCTCCTGTGTGTGGTCTACCCGCCGCATAACAGCCAGGGCAGGCTTACCGACAGTCCAGGCCACTCGCAGATCTCCTGAGATGAACTCAGATCTAAGTCTTACTCGTACCCAGCTTAACAACCAGTTACATGGACAGAAAAAAAGTGGATCGTGGTGCCAGACACATCAGGCTCCACTCTCTGGTCCACACAGCAGCTCACAGTGCAGATAAAGTCCTGGTCTGATTTGTAGGTGGTACTTCCACTGCAGAAAATTAAAAACCCTCAGTTATTAGCTATCTTCTGGGGGACCCGCCAAAGGCTATGTAGAGAGAATGTGTACTGGGCAGAGGAAGAAGCCATGGAGGAGTGTTGGAGGTGGACCTCTGGCAACCCTGGGGCTATCCATGTGGCCTGGTGGGCAGTCCCGAGGACACCTCGACTGTGGGAAAGCCCCTGCAGCATCATAGGGACCTCATCCTGACTCAGTGCTGCTGTTTCTTGCGTGCCCTCCAGGCCATAAGGCCAGCTCCGGGGGTGGGGGGGGGTGATGTCAGGGTCTCCTGTTGTGCACCCTATAGGACTGAGCCATTTCCACAGCCTCATCTGAGCTTTGTGTCCCTGGAGAGGCTCTTACTCCATACTGTAATGGTTTTCTGACTGTATTATTTTATATAGTAGTTGAGAAGATCAAGCCATTCTTGTCCATGATATTACACCACACAGGTGTAAAGTGATCCATAACAAGTTGTCAACAGAAAGTGATCTTTTTGCTTGTTCCAGGCATTTATTTTAATGTGGGATTGTTTTTCTCTTTTCTTCCTTTTGTTGGTGTCATTTTGTTTTTTTACTACCATTTGCAGGCAACGTGAACAATCATTTCACCTTTTCACCAAGTGCTGGCTCCAACACATCTCAGTTGATTCTTGCATCTAGGTTCGACTATGACAGTGGTTTTGATACAAACTGGATTTACAGACTGCGTGTCTACATAACAGATGACAATCTGTTGTCTGCCAGGGACAAAACTACAGACTTGATTAAAACAGGAACAGTTACTTTAAGCATCAGAGTTATCCCAAACCCGACTACTGTCATTACCACTACGGTAAGTTCACTGAACTTTATATCTAACCTGTTGTTCTTTCATGGGCTAATCTCTGTGGGAGTTGAGAAAAAGAGGGTAGATATATGCAAAAAGAAAGCAAAAAAACTGTAGTGGGTCCAGTCCTGGGAAGTGCTGAGCCCTGTGTTCTTACACTGAAGCTAATGGTGGTTAATATGGTCACTGTTGCGAAGGATTAGTCCCAGGTACAGACTTGCAACACATCTTTTTTATTTTAGTATTTAAATCCAAAAGGGCAAGTATCCGAAGAGCAGGTACTCTGCCATTACCATGTAAATGGGAAGTTAAAGATTTTGGAAACTGTACTGGTAAGGACACGGTGGAGGTTAACCTTTGCCTGGAACATTAAAATGATATCATGCATTTTGCAGGACCTCTCTTTTATTCTCAGCTTGTCACTGCTTTGGCTGCCTTGCATTTCTACATGTTTCTTTAGAGTAGGACACAAATTAATCTATAGCTACTAAGGTCAAAATAGGCAACAGCAAGAACAACAGGAAGTCCTTATCACTTGGAGGGGATATTTTTTCATCAGTGAGGTCACTCTAATGTAAAACTTTGACCTGACTGTCAGGAGTTGAAGTAGCTCTGCACATCCTCAGCATGTCGCTGAGGTTTCAGCAGGTTTCAGAGAGGTGACATTGCAGGTGTGGGTCGGAGGTTTTCCTGACCTCCTGTACTTGTGGTGCTCCACGGCTGAGCCAGGGAAGTCTGCATAGCTTTTGGCAGCCAGAGGGGGCTCCAGCTTTGCACCGTGATCCGGCAGTTGCTGTGGAGTGGGGGAGCCTGAGGTCGAGTGATACTGGCTGCTCTGACTTTACAGTTTCCATTTTGGAGCTGATTTCCATCAGGCTGATGCAGGAGATGAGGAGAGTCTCTTTTTGTCCTACCTGCAGAAGAAGCACAACCTGAGGGGTACAGAGCTCTCTGTGCCCCCGACCTGGTGCTCTTCCAGGTGCGGACCGCTTCCTTCACCCCTTGCCAGACCATCTATCGGTCGACCAGAGTCCCTCTGTTTTCTGCCTGACTGCTGATGGCTTTAGCCTTTTCTTCCTCACACACAGGAAAGAAAATTTGATGATGCTCATGAAGGGATAAAAGAACTATTATTAACTGTAAAACTATCCAATCTGTTAAGGACTACCTGCAGCTGAGTCAGAACCAGAGGAGCTGCACAAGGAGCACATGAAAGTCTGAAAACTTTGTTATGAAAATGCTTATGTTCAAATTTGCCGATTGATTAATAACCCTGTTATTATCTAATGCTCTGTTGGGAAGGAATAATTGGTTTTCTTACAGCCTCCTCCTCCCCCTACTTGATGTGGGAACAAAAAGTTAAGCTAACAAAACTTATTCTATATTTCTTTCCTGTGATTTACCACAGCTACAATACAGTCTAGAGTGCATACCACAGCCTTAAATCTGCCTCCCTGGAGAAATCAGCCTTCCACTTTCAGACGACTTTCCAGAAAAGCCCTTTCATTACAGCATCTGCTCCTCTCACTACTGGTTATGTGTGTTCAGTGCAGTAACTTGGTGAAATGGATGCTGGAAGGCTGGTGGTGTAGAGGAGGATCCCTGCCACTAAAAGTCACTTCTGACTTCTGTCCCAATGAGATTGCAGTGGTGATGGTGACTTTAAGATTATTTTATACTTTCTTTAATGATTTGATATACCCAGCACTACTGACTGACAGTAGATCACTCTTCATTCTAAATATTACCTTTTAACAGTTACTGACAGTATTAGACACAGTCAAACCCAGTCCACCCATCTGCCAATTTTTGCTAGTATATACAAGTTAGTCTAAAGCTAGCACTAGACAGAGAACAAATAGAAACTCTGTTGATTTTTGTATACAATGTAACTACAAATGTATTACAGAAAATAAAATAAAAACTTTGGCAGATGATTAAAACTCACGGTGTAAGACATACTACAGTAGGTGTTGACCTAGGTAGACTAAAGGAGTCATTTCGGACCTGTGTGAAGCTAGTGTCACGATGGGACCCTAATGAATGAGCTGCTAACTCCAAGTGATGTGCCAGCTCAGAGCACTGGCTCCTGGCACATGGGAAGATCTGGGAGCTCACAGCTCCTCAGAAAGTGTAGTTCTCCCTTCTGGAACAAGTCGCAGGGGGAAAAAAAGGAGTTTCATTTATTTTTATACAATAACTCAGTTCCTCAGGGTTCAACTTCTCTTACGAAGGGAGTTGAATGATCACTGCGGTGGAGATGACCTACTTCCAGTTTTGCCTTAGGTAACTAGAAACCATTATCTCGGTAACGGCAGTATTCCCTGAACTTCCTTATCCTCAGACGGTGTGATCGCAGCTTCTGAGGCAACCTGAGGCTTTTAAACACCACTGCGGCCTGCATATTTGAATAGAAGACATTGAAACATTATCAGGAACCTCCTTTTTGCATCATGGGTGGGCTTCATTTCACCTGCCTGTAACTGCCCCAGGAGCGTGGTGGTCCATCTCAGTCAGTCATCTGAGCTGCCTCGGCAGTCAGCAGAGCGAGGTGCGTGGGCTGAATCACCATCACCAGGAGACACTATCTCCCTTTGCTGATTATCTAGAGCACCCTGGGGGGAAGCTTGGGCCCGGTGCCTCGGCACAGAAGTTAAGTTAGGCAAGACGAACAGTGCTGTAAGTGTCAACACCTTACAAGTATGCAGCATCAGGGAACTTTTCCTGTTTTGTTTTGAAAGCCTGGCTTTACTCTTGTGACGAAAAGGGAAAATCTCTATTCTGAATCGGCGTGGTACGTGCCGTTCATCATCACTCTCGGCAGTTTGCTGCTCCTTGGACTACTAGTGTATCTGGTGTCGCTGCTGGCAAAATGCATTCGCACCTGGTGCCCACCAGCACGCAAAGCAGACAACGCTCCACTGTGAGTCCTTCCAAATGGGGGGGCAGTACCTAGAAATACCTGTTAATGACAAAGATAACTCAGTCTTTTGGGAGTTAATGAAATCTAGGCTCTGAATATTTTACAGTGGTATGTCCTTTGCTGTAATAAATGCTATTACTGGCTACAATGATATTTGGTGTTAAAGATAAGAAATCAAGGAAAAATGTGCATGGAATTTTTTTCCTTTTTTTTTTTTTTTTTTTTTACTAATTAAAAAGTTTAAGTCTAAGTTTAAAGTTTAGGTTTAACCAAATGCATTAGCTGAAGGTAACTGTGGAATTAATAATTATTACCTGTCAAGACAGCTAAGCCTGTAAGGCCCAGTCAGAGTCAGCGCCTGGCTGTGCTGAGCACAAATACAAATGTACGTGGGCGCCCACTCCGAGGGAACTTCCCATCTCGGTAGATAACGTATGCATAGTTCTTCCTTTTAGCTAAGGATCTCCGAATCCTTTTCAAACTTCAGTGCTAATCCCAAATTCTTTATTCAGACCCAACTTCTACAGATTTCTTGGAGTTTTGACTAAGCCTGTTGTGAGGCTCTGGCCCATAAAGCTTCACAGTAGCTCTAGTCACTCTTGCTTGGCAAAAGCCAAGGAAGCACCTTGGAATAGCTCCGCTTCCTTCTGGGAAGCTGTAGAGATCCCCAGGGACTGCTTTTTTAGGGGGCTTGGGTCAGAGTGTCCACAACTGACGTTTTACTTCACAAAACAAAGGTGAGCAGGACTTGAAGTGAAGCTGCTCTTGGGCTTAAAAAAAGTACTCTATAAGTATTCTCAGGATGTGGATGGAAATTTAGAAAGTATAGTACATTTTTAAAGGGAAGAGGTAATAGATGACTGTGATTATAATTCAAATAGTATATGGAAGAAATTCAACAATTTGTGATAAAAATGAAAAATGAATCTAGTAGCATATAGTGTGGGTATTGCTATTATTTATTAATGGGGCACGTGATTCATTGGGGTTTAGGTTCTCCCATTAAAAAGCAATTTTTACATTTCAGATACATTTTAAATCCTTCAAATATTTTAAAAGGTATTATCTGAGCACAGGAGATCCAACCAATTGACCTTCCTCTAAGGATGGAACTAGATGGGAATTATGCTTGAAAATATAATTTTCCAGATTACATAAATCCATCATGCTATCACCAATAAAACTTTTTTTAAATATTGTCACTTTTTGGAGAGGTGTTACAGTGATACTCAGGGCTGTTTTGCTGTTTGGGAGCAGCGTTAAGTGTTGCAGGCATCCAGTGAAAACAAAAGCATAAACCAAACAAATCAAGCAAATCCCCAAACTCAAGGAAGCAGATGCTTCTTGCCAAGTGAAGGGAACAAAGTATGATATTCTTATATAGGCAAAAGTCTGATATTTGTTAACTACACTCTTAATCTTTTTTTTGTTGTTGTTACAGGATAGATGCTCCAGGTGCGTATCTCCTTTCCATATCTTAATTCTTCTCAATAACACCTTGTTTACTGTTCAGAGTAAAATTGGTAAATCCATTTCCAGATAAATAAATTTGGCTTAGTACAAGAGTGCTCTGATTAAATAACCTGGCTGACTATGGGAGGCCGGCCCAACTGATTGCATGGTCCTTTTGGTCTTCAAATCTGTTCAACTATTAGGTAAAAATCAAGTTCAGAGTGGCCTGACATTCTGGCGTGGTATATTTTCATACATATGCTACCTATTGAAAAAATAATTCCATTTCTCAACAACTGCCTTCAAGATCCCTCTCCTCTCTAATTCCCTGTTCTCTGATCCCCTTCATTTTCTCCCTTGGGCCCATTACTGTGTATACCTGAGGATTTATTTTCCAGTTTTTTTTAAAGAGGTTATATAACTTAGCAGGGGTATAAGTTACACACACAAAAATACAGGGTTTCTGAAGAAGCAGGGTTTTTTGTTTCATTTAGTTCCGTAGGCTTTCCTCTAGCAAGCACGGCTTATAACTTCTCATTAAGAACCTGCTTTTATAGCTCCCTCTACTCAGTGAGTATCTCCCAGCTTGAGAAAACACGACTAACAAAACCCAGCAAAACTGGCTGTTCTCTTGATTGCCCTGTTTGAGACATCTCAGCGTTGGCTCGTTTCCAAAAAATGGATGCCTGGTGCTTTCTGAAAAACTGGTTCCCAAATTTTGGGTGGCAGAGGCCCGGTTTCCCGTGAACGCTCAGGTTCGGGCCCATCTGCCACATTTCAGAGGATCGCATACACAGTCGTGAAGCGCGCTGGTGGACAGACATACTGTTCTCTAAAGGAAGGACGTTAAGCAAATTGGCAAGGAGCGAGCGAGAAGAAATCATAGCAACTAGCTGGGTATCATCCACAAATCCGTGCTGTTGAGATGCCCGTGGCACTGCTGCTGTATTTGTTTGCATGTGGGATGAGTTAATTGTGTGGTAAATTCACACATAACCAAACTGTTCTTCACTCTGAATTTTACTTGACTAGATTTGCAGCGCTTCCCTGTTTTGTCTCCAAATGAATGTTTGAGTGCACACGCTTTGCAAATACAAACATTCACGGGAAGAAAAAAAAAAAATCTATGTTTCTATTTCAAATATCCCCAAAGGTGAAATTTGCTTCCTGGTAGACAGCCAGTCTGAGGCCCCATACAGCACAGGCGTCCTCACAATACAGCTTGAACAGGAGTTACACAATGCACAGACCTGTGCTGGCTGCCTGGGGCCGCAGAGGGGGAGGAATTTCACCCCTGAAGCAAACTTCACTTGTAGCATTTTGGAATGAGTGGTAGGCAAAAAAAGAATTATTCACTGAACAAATGTGTGAATAAGTTTCCACAAAGACCTCATTTGAATTTCTATATCTGTTCATATTATTTACAAAGGGAAATTTGTTAAAGAAACTATTGTTATTTATTCATTACTCAAGGAATAATACTTTTTAAGGCTCAACTTTTCATTAGTGCACCTGTGCATTTTTAATGCAGAATATTATGAAGGAGTCTAGTGTGCAAATAGTATTAGGGATCATTCTTTGAAAGGAAATAAGGCTCATCTGAGATGTCTCAGAAGTTGAGTATGAAGCCTCTCTATCTGTTTGGGGAAATCATGGCTTTAGTGTCTACAGTCACTGTCAGAAAAATCTTGTTCTTTACAATATGCACTTTCTTTCCCGTAGAAAAGAAGAAACCTAAGAAGGAAGTGGTTTTGGTAAGTCCTACCAGCCTCAAGACTAAAAAAAAAGTCCAACTCATCACCCAATATGACTCTAGAACCCCTTTATATGAAAGATGTCTGTTCTCCAAAGACAATATCAAAATAACAACAGAAAAGAAAGGACTGCCCCAAAATGCACAACTCTACTGCTCAAACTGACCTCTCTGGAAGCAACACTGGGGCAGCACTGCTTACCTGCATTTTGGCCCCTTTTCTTCCAAGACCCAAATTCTCCATCATCTCTGGTACCCCGTATGTGGAAGGCCAGAGAGGCCGTGCCTGGAGCAGCGAGAAAGGAGACTCACTGCAGCCAAACAGGGAGGAGGACAACATGCCCCAGCTTCACTAATACCACGGTTACACTGCTGAAGTGCCACTGGCTTCTGCAGTTACTCCCGAGCTGTGGGAGTGTAAGCAGTAACGGTACCCAAGTGTACCCAAGCTGCAAAAAGTTTGGATTGGATAACGTGTTTGCAACAAAATGCCATTCTTATTTCCTCTGCAATAGATGTTTGCTCCCAGATACAGAGCATCTCAGGGCTCCTTCCCTTCTCGAAGGCATAAAGGCTGCAAAGTGCTTTCAAATTGAACTCTCCCTCCCCAGGTTCTTTAGCGAGGGGATTCCCAGGCCTCTTCAGAATGGAGATGACCCTCTTGTGGTTACACATGTGGAGGCATTTAGCATGTCAGACCTTATTGCTTCATCTTTGAACATCCAGTAGCAACACTCTACCCCACAAACGGCTTTTGTTGCCAGTTCAGATTAAACTCAGCCTGCAAGAATGCAATATACAGGTCATACAAATCTACCTACAGCCATGCAGGTCAGCATTTCCAAGTCACTGCTCCTTCTTCTTGCTTAACTAATTCACAGAATTCATTTCACATTTTGTCTCTCTTCACAGAAAATGACAAGGCTAAACACTGTCTTTGATGGAGAAGCCAGAGACCCAGGTAATAAAAAGTAATTAACAGCGGATATGAATATTTGGCCTGAAACAAACTAAATTCATTGACTTAAATATGGTTTGACATTTGCTTTTCATATTTCAGGTTTGCTGTTTCCAAGGAGAATGGGAGCTGTATTTCATAGATAGTGAAAATCAAGAGAGTGCCCTAGTAATGTTTTTAATGGTAGAATATACTTAGGTCCCTTGAAAGCATGCATCCAATGGCTAGGATCCAACCGCTCCTCTGGCAAACCTGATTGTCTGGATCTGGTACTGGGGGGTGGGAAAGAAGGGTGGGAAGGAAGGAGGAATTTGCTCCAAGCCTCCTGCTCTTGTGCTGTCATGCTACGTGGTTTCCCCCTTCCCCTGTCTGGGATATAGCCAGCAGACTAATGAAGCCACCAATGTAATGACTCAGTCTCCAAAAGCTCTCCCTGAAAGCACGGCAGGGTGAGTTACTTGCTCCTGCACACGCTCCTCTCTCGTAGCAACGCTGCATCATCTGAGGCTCAGACATCGCTTGCTGAGGAGGACAGGGAAGGCCACTTGCTTTTGGATGCGCATATGGTGGCATCAGCTACCAAACATGTTACCCCAGAGAGCAGTAACCCTCCAGCTATGTAAACTCTTGAGTTGTGCTTTACCAGCTGGGCAGTTGGGAAGAGCAAAATCAGGGTAAAAGCTGGAAACAACAGGATGGCCCAGGAGGTATAGTGCTGATCCCCTTCCCCACATGGTGGCCACTGCCCTCTGCAGCACAGTTCATTGCACAGAAATGTTTTTTGTCAGGGTGGATCCCTCTTATCTCGGCCCTTGGAGCAGCAGCCCCTGTGGCAATCGCCGTATTGCAGGGATTGCTCTAGCCATGTGGCCTGGCTTTAGGGAGTCCAGCTCTACATCTAGCGGCTACGGGCCCCCAGCAGACAGGGGCTGCCAAATGGGACACTATTGGTCGAAACAGCGCCTCAACAAATAGTTCTGAATCAGTGGGTCTCAAAATTATCCAGAAAAAAGCAGGCTTGTTTCAAGGCTGGGACTCATCTGGCCAAATTTCCACCCAACTGCCTGTACCTTGTGTTTCTTATTATCTGGCTCTGGGCTCTCGAGGGCCTTGAGCTAATAGGAAACACTAGGCACAGGGATTTCAGCAGAATTTAGGCGAATAAATAGGACCTACTGTGCAATTAAGCCTATCCACAAGTCTGGTTGAGGCCAGTCTGGTCCAGGCCTAAGCCCACTTGCTATTTATAAAGAGATTCTGAAGGGATGGGCTCCAAAGTCCTTTTTCCCCTAGGTAATGGCATTTTACAAATATTAGACATGGACATTCCCTGGGCCACTTCAGGAGCTGCTTCCCAGAGTTTTGGCAGGACAGTGGACGGTTTCGTTCCTTCGCAGACCTGACCACACCAGACTAATGGATATCAGGGCCCATCCAAACTGCACCCCAGCATAAGGGCACTTGTGTCAAACAAACATCAAGTTATAACACAACACTGTGGTGTCAGCAGAGAAATGTGTGTTCCCCGCTTCTCCCCTCTTCCCTCCATGGCTCATCCCAAACCCTAGAGGACCAAGTGCTTGTGGTCTGGAGATGAGGTTTAATAACTCCCAGGATATTATCTATCGAACATGATTAGGAGGGCTGGTCAGGAATTGCTTCCTGATCTGGACTGCTTTAACATGCTTGCCTTGTATGTAGTCATAAAAACAATATGCAAAGAGATCCAGTTTCATCTTTAATTGCTCAAATAGCATTACTGTGTCAGAGAACATTAATTCTGATACAAACTATAACATGTAGTAACACGTAACTTCTGTTTCTTTCCAGGCCTTAATGGTCTTTTGTTTGTCTCATGTTAATAATGTTTAATTAGAAGAAGTGCCACTATAGCTTCTGATTCTCTGTTGAGAAAGAGGCAGTAATTCAGATTATGAGGCAACCACACTGGATACATACCAATTTGTCCTCCTGTCTCTGGGTAGTAAATGAACTGAAGGAAAAGGTGCTTGTTTTTAGTGTAGAGGTAGAAATTACTTGCAAAATCTGAAGAGGGCCAGAAATATTTCTAATAAGAAAAGGTAACAATGTGCGTTAAACAACCAAAACTTAAGAATATTTTATATAGATGAGGAAGCATGTACTTGCATAAACAGAAAATAGACATGATTTCACTGTATTAATGACTTATCTTTTGAGACAATGTTCACGGCAAGCCTTGAGAAAAGCATGCAGTGCAAATTGTAAACCAATGCATACAGCTAAAATCCTTGGGGAATTCCAGATCTCAGAGCCCTGGGTCACCACACACGACCTAACATGGGCCACAGGATGTCTGTCATATATGGGGCTGCTAGCAAGTGTTGCTCCACCAAGCTGGTAACTCTGCTTGAAGGCACACACGCATACAATGGACTTACCTAGCACAGCCAAGGCAAAAGTTTTGGGACAGCCAGTCATAACAACCAAGGATTATGTATGAGTTTGTTATACTGATCATGCTAGCCCTAGTTTGGATACAGGTATAGGATGAGGTCCTATTTTAAATATTCCTTTTCTTCAGACTGTGAAGCCAGTTTTGTATTGATAGGATGGCATCTCCCTTGAGGGACTGCTATGACTCCCAGGTCCCCCACGCTCGCTGGAGGAAATGAGGCTTTTCCTCTCAGGGCTACCTTCCCAAAGTGATCTGATTTTCCAGGTGCTTTGCATTTCCAGTTTCATCCCCATCCTGAGGAGAACTGTCATGTCTTAATCTGCTAAAGCAAGAATGATTTTAATCAGCTGTGTTTTTTCTCCCTTGCAAGTCACAGGCAAAATGTATGAATTCAATACGCGGTCGGGGGCCCGGAGGTGGAAAGAGACCGAGGAGCCTCTTCAGCTGGCCCCAGTTGTGCAGGTAACATCAAGTGCCACAGAAAATGGCGGTGAAGGGAAAGACAGAGCAGAGACTCCAAGCAAAAAAGAAACTCCAGAGAAGAGGAAAGAGCCAACAGCAGAGAGAAAAACAGCTGCCAAGCCCTCAGAAGGGCAAACAGAAACACCAGGCCAGGATGGGCAGAAGTTAAAGAGGCAGAAAGAGGAGTCTGCGAACCAGGGGTTAACCTCACCAAACGGCCAAGACAAACCACTAACCTCCTCTCCCAGAAAGCGTGTTGTATTACCATTAAGCCACCCTTGAAGGATGGTGCATGAGACTGTGAGGAGCCTCCCAAGCAGGCCGCTGCTCCTCCTCTGAAGAGCCAAAGCATCAACGGATGCTGACCAATGCTATTTTCTCTCTATATATCTTAGCTGCGAAACATTAGGAGGCAACTGCTGTGTAAACGGGACCTAAAGGCAGAAACAAGCTGGGTTTAACCTTTGCTACATGCAAATAAGACTGGAGGAGAAGGGAAGGCATCATGGTAGTCAGTGCAGTGATCTAGGATTAGGAACTAGGATAAATGCAGTCCCCCTGCTCCTCTGAGCGCAAAGACAGTTTCTGGATAGTGTGGAAGAGTCAGTAGCTCCTTGAAAAGGGGAGGAAGTGAATGGAGGTGATGAGGAAATGAAACCGGAGTCACAGAAAAAAGTATTAACTGCCCACTCCCCCCCCAGGTTTAGCAGCTGGCAATTTCCTTTTGGAAGGCCTTTCTGGCCCCAGGCTGCTCTAGCCTTTGGCCCGTGCCAGGGCGGCACAGCCGCATCCTCTGGCTGCGTTTGGAGAGGCGAGAGGGCTGGGCAGTGTCTGCACGGACACATATTCTCACCAGTGAACGGGTGCCGGGAGCCATGCTGCTCAGAGAGAGAAAGACAAAAGTGAGGTCAAGTTGCTTCTCTTTTCCCTACTGAGCTGGCTGCTAAACAGCAGAAAGGGTGAAATGCCCATTAGAATTGAAAAGTTTGGTGGTAATAGCTAAAAATGTTTTCTTTTCCATCACCGTTTTATTTCAGCCCTTCCTCCCCATCTCTTCTTGCTGCAGAAGTGAACACGGCTTGAAAGCAGTTTTGGATTGGAGAAAATCCACAGTTTGTTAATGATATCTCAGGCTGTCATGTTAATGTTTTCAGCTTACTTATCTTTTGCAGCACTAGCAGCGTTCAATATCTTTACCTTTCCTGATTTCCTCTGGGGTATTTAGAGTTTTGCAGAATCAAGTGGAACACACTCAAAAGAATAATTACAGTAAACACATGTGGTGAAATAATTTTTTCCACGTGTAAGCATGTATAATGTAAGTGCTGCCTAAGAACCTGATATAAAACAAGCAAACCCTACAAGATTTCAGAAAATTATTTTTATCTGAAGAAAATTAATTATAAATGATGACTTCGTACTCAAAGATGTTTGTGTTTCATTTCTTTCCTGATCACAAAAATTTTTTGGGTGGCAAGGGACTCATTTAAACTAGGTGGTAAGAGAAAACATTTGCTTTAAGCTCAGCAGGGCCAGTAACTTACGGTTTTATCTAATCTGTCAGACTTACCATTTTTTTTCATTCCAGGGGGGACCTGGATAGGGAGACCGGGGGTAATTTCACTGAGGATCCTACGCTTTACTAAGCCATTCTCCATGGTGCTGCGACTCTTCTGCACACTCCAAAGGAGTGGTTTGGCTCAGGAACAACTTCCCTTGCAAGCACCAAATGTCTTCAGTCAAATAACATTTCATTGAGCAATCAGAAACCCAGCCTGTCATGAACAGCACAATCATAAAGATAGGAGAGAGTGATTTATACTCTCTGAACTCGTTATCAGTTTACTGTACCTGCAGTGGTTGTTATAGTGTTGTTTGACCCTTCAGCACCAACAGGGCTAGTCACATATTCAGAGCTCTCACTCACCATTGTTTGCATTGGTTTTCTGTAAATAAAATATATCCAATTTCTATGTAGGTGGCTTTCCAGTGACATAAAGAAGTTCTGTGGTAACTGATAGTACTGTTGTAACTAATCTTTCTATTATTGTGACACAAAGATACGCACAGACACGCCCGGCACCTACAAACTTTAAATCTTTGTCACTTGAAGAAGTCATTTGCATTGTTTTCATGACAGGAAGACAGCACAGGCTTTTAAATTGATGTTGCTGGCCATTTATCTAGTGCTGACTGCTCCACTTCCTGAATTCCTCTCATTCGACTTTCATGATTAAGGCATAATTATTATTATTATTATTATTTTTTAAGCAGACGGCAAAGAGAGGCAGAAATAGGCTGTAGTTTCAGGTAGAAAATCTGGAAAAATAGGGATGAAAATGCATCTCCCTTTACTACTGTTCCTACTGCTAACCTACACAAACCTCCTTCCTTCCCTCCTTTTCAGGAAAAATAAAAAAAGGCATAACGTGGTATCACACCATACCTTGAACATTCATGTAAGCAAACTGCTCTCACTGCCAGTAGCGCTGGTGTCTTAGTCTCCCACAGCTGGCCAACAGCTTTTTTTTTGGTGTGTGCTTTTTCCATTGAGAAGACTCTTGGATGACACAGATCCAGTGTTGAAAACTATCACTAGATGGACTGAGAGCAAGGATTAAGTGCAGGAGCTAAACAATAAAAGCATTTAATTAGTGGAACAATTAACAAAGAGTAAAGAGCTTTTCCATCATTTGAAGACTTCAGAAGTGAAGAATGGCTGCTATATGCTGTTGACGATCAGACTAGATGATGCTGACAGGCTCTCCAGTCTTTAAAAACCCTATTAATCTCCGTGCATATAGGTACAAGGTGCAAATTTTGGTGCCACTTATTTTTGAATGATGGCTCTGATGAGCTGAGACTACAAGAGGAAGAAAGGGATCTCATGGTTCAAATAGGGTGGCTGAGGGCAACAGTTTCTGACCTCCAGCTGCCTGTTACATGTTATGCATTGCTTTTATCCAAAACCTACAAAAATCAACGCAGGTTTTGCCATTGATTTCCATAGCTTTTGATTTCTGTGTCTCTATTTGCTGGATGTCTCTGAAGTGCTTTCAGACTTTGGATTAAAGTTGCTATGAAAGTTTCAAGAGTGAATACGAGAGAGTGCAGATCACTTTTCCTGGCTGGGTCTAGTCTCCCCAGGAGTTTTCCTGTGATCATCTTGGTATTTTTTTAGTGCTTTTCTCCGAAACGAATGCACTTAATGCATAAATGTGTTGTTTTCATGTTCGTTTTATAAATAATATTTGCAATAAGCATCATAAATCTCAGCCTGCTCCTGGCCACGTAACTTTATTTTTATTAAGGAATGTAAAAGTACTGATACTGTATTTGTTCATGGTTTCTGTAAAGCACATCTAACCATATGCATCTGCTCTGAGGTCACCTTTGGATTTCAAAATGTGTCACTTATTTGCAGGTAATAAAAATCAAAACACAATATTCAAGAAATAACACAATAACCCCCACCCTTCCCCACATTATCCGCCTTTACCTTACATAATCAAAACCAGACAAAACCTGAGGTATTTTTATGCTGGTTATTCTGAACTGCCTATTAAATCAAAATATGTAGATCTTTTTTGCCAAAAAGCCAGACTTTTTAGCATTTGATAGTCAGTAAAATCTTCCAAAGAGCAGGAGACAGAGTGGTTAGAGCACGTGCCAGGTTGTTTAAACCTGTTCTGTTTGTTGACCTATCACTGGCTTTATCATGGCAGTTAAGTCACTGAAGGATGGATCTGGCAAGGAAGCTACATCCAGTAAGGGCTCTGGCACCTGGGCATTAGGAGTTGCAACACTCACCAGGAAGGTTCCCGGAGCAAAATCCTGCCCTAGAGGCCCGCTCTTTGCCAGGCCTGGGGCTGGGGCGTCAGGTACCAATAACAGCATGCAAACTACCAGCACACTGACCAAAAAGCTTGCAGAGCTTGCATCTAGGAGATTAACCCCTGAAAATTTACTTCCCCAAGGAGCTTAGACACCTCACTCTCTGCTATCTTCAGATGCTAGGACTGTGATCCTAACACCAACAAGTCTTTCTGAAGAGCTCTCTTATTTTCAGAAAAGAGCTGGAAACTGTCTACTGGGCAGAGCACCTGGCTGAGAAGGGCTGTCAGGTTGCGCTGAGTGCCCGGAGTGGGGAAATACAGTGTTGGGGACAAAGCTTGGGGTGTGCGACACTGCTTCTCAGGCAAACATCCCCAGTCACAGGGTTTTAGGACCACATTCTCCCTTGTGTTTTCCTCTCCTAGGCTTTGTCAATGCTTTCCTACACATGAGAATGGTTTCAGCTGCAGAGATGGAGAATGTCTGCCCAGGAGTCTGCCACTTCACAACTGGTCGGTCATTACAAGCAGGAGATGGGTCTTGGGCCTCCTCAGACAACAGTGGCATTGCTCATTCTCCTGGGCAAAGAATCTAGCTACTAAGTTATTTCATGAGGCCTGGATTGTAATGTCACAATGCAAATAACATTTTAACAGCAAGCAGCCACAACTGCATTTCACATGCGCCCCAGGCCTGGCTGTGTTTGTCAGTTGTCTGAGATCCCCAAACAAATTAGACCCTTTGCAAGGCTCCAGCTGAAAGAGGCTAACGTCTGGGACCTTGTCCAGCTGCAGCATGGACCTTGCACCTGCTAGGCTTCACCTGCACATGCCTATGTCTGAGCTAGTCATCGCAAGCTCCCTGTGTCGTCGGTGGGGAGAAAAAAGGCTCTTTCGGTGTGACTTATACCATTGCCAAGCAGATCTCTGTTTATAATAGGTCAGATGAAGTGGGCCCTAAAGCATCTCTTTCTGGCTGACTAGATCAGACATCAATGCCTATGCACTAGACATGTAAAGTGTAAAGTTAGATCAGAGAAATCTCAACCCAAGTTGCTCAGATGAGGGCCAGTTGGTGCTGCTGCACCAGGTGCCCGAGGAAGTTCAAAATCAGCAGGCAACTGAATATGGAAGTAAGCCCAGCTCACTTGTTCAGATCACACTAAGGTATTCAGGCACCTCTGCTCTGTTGGTCCTCCGAGATCCACAGGGTGCTTTCTGGGATCTGCCTTTGGGGTCATTCAGCATCTGTAAAGATGTAATGAGATGAGCTTCGGAGCAGCCAGGTAGAAGATGGGCCTGGCTGAGAGACCTAGGAAGATAAATACGAGCTGCAGTGAGTTTTGGCAGCAAACTCCATACTGCTGAGTGAAAGATGCACTTGAAAACAAAACAGATCTTATTCTCAGTATTGTTCAAGGATGCCACTGCTCTGTAGTTCTCTGATGCTAAAATCCAGCTGCTGCAGGTTAACAGACCCACTGGGAACTGACTTTGAGTCAAGGTCCTCAGTTAAGCTCCTGGGTGTGAAGAACACAAATAGCGAGTGATATGGGGAAAGCAAGACTCAGTCCAGATACAGAATCTTGCCCGATTTTTGATTCTTTCCAATAGATTAGCTGGGGGTGCTCAGACAGTTGTTACATATGCTGTGCCACAACTGCCAAATCTCCAGCTGCCAAAGTGGGTGGGTCTGGGACAACCCGGATAAAGTAAAACCATGGACACTGTTACGGCTTCTGTGCTGCCACCGACCACAAGAGCACCAGAGCTGTGTTTGTGCAGGACCTGCGTGGATGAGCCCGGCTGAGTGCAGCACAGCCTGCACTCGGGAGCGCTGCACACTCATTGCCCTCCTTAGCACTGCCATGCTACATGACCCACATGGCCCAGGGAGGCTTTGTGGGCTCCTGCCCTACAACACATGTGGCACAGCTGGCGGGCCTGCGAGCTGCTGAGGTCCACACACATCTCTCCCATTCTGTAATTACTAAAATCAATTGCGAAGAAGAGGTTTTCTCCCCATCTGGTCAGGGACTAGCAGGCTCAAGTCCCTCACCAGGGCCTCTGGGCGCTGCTGACAGGCAAATATAGCATGATAGAAGGGAGGCAGGCTAGTATCATCATGCTTTCCAGATGGAGAAAGTGAGGCACAGGGTTCTTTGGCAGAAGCAGAATTGCCGTGTACGGAGATGTATCCGGCTCGGCATTACTCTCACTCGCGTGGGTCACTGCTAGCAGAGCTGTGGCAGCCCAGGAGCGCCTCGCAGCGCTTCGTCAGCGTTCAATGCTGCCGTAGCATCGCTGTGCCTGGAACCGGGGCAGGCGCCTTACAGCGAGCCGAAGTACAGCCGCACAGCGCTGCAGCCACACCTTAAAGACCCTTGCCAGAGAGACGGCTGTCTTTCACGGCTCACATCTTTCCCCTCACTGCCCTCCTTCCCCCATGACTTTGGCCTCTCGGGATATGTTTTGCTCTTACACAGACAAACAGTAATTTCAAGGAACTGTTTCCCCCATTGGCTTTTCATTCAGCAGCTGTATGATGGCCTTAGCCATCCCTGACCAGGGCTCAGCACCCCCCAGGCTGGGCGACTTGTAGCAGCACCCCAACGGCAGGATTGGGCCCTCCAGCAGCATCTCACCACTCGCTTCCCCACGCGCTGCGAAGGCCGCGTGTCGGGTTGAGGCTGCAAGAGACTGACAGCTCTGCGCCAGCCCAGAGCGGCAAAGCTCCTTAACCGAAAAGCGAGAGGAGGGCAACTGGGGGGAGCTCGGGCAGCCCGTAAGCGCTGCAGCGGCATCACCCTGTGAGTGGCCACGTCAGGCTCAGTCGCCTTCACGGCCCCGAGGAGCAGCAAACCCCTCGCCTCCGCCTGGGGTGGCCCCGGCAGCCCCGCGGCGCCCCACGGGGAGACCGCCGGGCCTCGAGGGGCAGCGCCCGCTGCCTCAGGTTTTCGTGGAACAACACTGACCCCCGGTGGTTTGAGACGCTGGTGAGGTAGGAAACCGGGCCAAGAGATTTTTTTTCCATATGGAAGGAAACTGCATAAAAGCAAAATTATATATGGAGCAATTGTGTGCAGCACGACACTTCCTCTGGAAGGCAGCCAGCCAAAAGAGGAGGAGGCAGAGGTGTACTGGGGCTTGGGAAAGAGGACAAAGAAAGAAGGAACGAGCAAGTCTGAGAAAAACAGGATAAGAGGGACTTAGGCACCAAACCAGTGTAGACTTCTCCGTA